CTGCGTAAAACATGAATGTGGTTTAAGATTTTTGTTTGATTTACGAAATCTGTTGTTGAAGTGAGCTAATTTTGTAACGTTCATTGGCCAATATTAAAAAGATTTTAAGAACGGTGCCACATAATAAACTTAATCTTTATCTTTCCTGTACCTTTTTCGTCCTTTTCATTTAGACCATCAGGTTCTAAAGTATGAAGCGTATGGATCCAAAAGTGTTCTCTTCTCCTTCTCGTCGCGGTGTCCAACTCAGTGTTCACTTCTATAATTTGAAAAGTAACTTGATCGAAAAGGTGTTTCGTTGAACGAGATGTCTTGTGAGGGGATAGTTTTTTGATAGTTTACCAGATTCACCTGGATAGATGCATGCCCGATGAAGCTAGTTTGTCTAGGGAAATATTGCGTTTATTTTTTATCGCAGTGTAAATGTTTTTAACATTTAAATATGAACATACTAAATAGTGTGTAAAAATTACATTGTTAGGCAATTTATAATTTTATTTGTGAAATTGAATTAATCTATGTACTGATTCATCCACACTTAAATAGATTTGTATGTTATGTGTTGCTATTTATAGGCACTTATATATATATATATATTTAGCTGCATACACTACAAACAGAGTGTAGAAAGTTGTCTGTTTAAATATTTTAATTAATACAATGATTCTTACATAAAAACATACATTTTCAGTTCATTGTGAAGACATTCAACTTCGAAATGGGACTGTAACTATATCTGACAGTGGGTCAGCTGGTGTTAATGCAACATTTTCCTGTGACAAAGGGTTTACTTTACTGGGAAAGTCGTCTATCACATGCTCAGAAAATGGATTTGATGGTTATGCTCCAATATGCTTTGGTACGTAAATGATTGGCAGCTACATTCCTCTCAAAAACGTTTTCTTACGGTTTAGTGTTTCCATTTTTTTTTCTTTTCTCGAAAGAAGTGTTTTTTAAAGCTATATTAAAATTTACAATCCCTCAACTTCAGTTCTAAATCAAACTCATCAAAGGTAACAGGCTTATAATTATTTAGGCCAGAACCGCTTTTTGTCAAACATAGACTCATCAGAGGCGCTCGAATTAATTAAAACAGTTGAAAGCCCAAATAAATTGTTAAAATATAAAAATGAATTCAAGTTTTATAAACACTCATAATTTCGTACGCTAGACGCGCTTTTTGTCTACAAAAGACTCATCAGTGGCGCTCGAATCAAACAATTTGGAAAGAAAAATTGATAAAAACTAAAAAAGGGGAACAACTTATTTGATCTGTTAATAATTTAATTTTGGATGTAACGCGTCTTCTGATTGGCTGACGTTGTTTTGTTTATCAGCTCATAGACATAATTTTGTCATGTGACCGTGACGTCATCAACGTTTTTTTATGGTTTACTCCGATTTAAAATGGAATTTAGAATTAAATTATAAGAAACGACTGTAATATTTTTTCTGTCTATTCGAAATAACATTAAAAATGTGGTGCACACTATAAAATAACCCGCTACGCGGGTTATTCAGTGTGCACCACATTTTTAATGTTATTTCTTCATAGACAGAAAAAATATTACTGTCATTCTTTAAACACTTTTAATATAAATTGAGTAAATTTGTTTTCTCTCTCTTTAAATCAGATTAATTATATATGGGAAAATATCACTGTTTAATCGTAAACATTTCTCATAAGGTGATGTATTTGTTTATCAAAAATATTGCATTAATTGTTCGATAAATGATCAATCTGTGATGTGTGTAAGCTTGCCTTTTCATCTTAGGTTCCAAACAAAATATTACTACGGCCAAAAAAATTCAAAGGAGTAAGTTCGGTAAGGTCCCTTTTTGACAACGCATTTTAAGTCAATTGATTCAAAATAATAAGTGTTTCAAGTTGATGAATACATATGTTAAGAAAGTGAAACAGTATACAAATAAGGAGATGTGGTATGATTGTTAATGGGACACCTATCCACCAGAGACCAAATGACGTAGATGTTAGCAACTATATATCACCATGCAGCCTTCAACATCGAGCAAAACCCATACCGCATAGCAAGCTATAAAAGGCCTCGACATTAAAAAATGTAAAACAATTCCAACTAGAAAACCAACGGCCTGATTTATGTACAAAACATTAAACGAAAAACAAATATGATATACAGCAACAAACGACAACCACTGAATTACAGGCTCCTGACTTGGGACAGACATAAACAGAATGTTTTGGGGTTAACAGATATAAGGAGATGTTGATATGAGTGCCAATGAGACAACTCTCCATCCAAGTTAAAATTTATAAAAGTAAACCAATATAGGTCAAAGTTAAACATGTTTGCGGGCGCCCTACCCTCTCCTAACCTGGAACAGTGGTGTAACAGCACAACAAAGGAAAAATCTTTTAAAATCAGTCGAAATGGGCTTGACTCAACAGATCGATACAAACCACAAGAACATGCAACTAACAAAAACATTAAAGACATAAAGTACTGATCTGAAAGTACTCGCTGTTACTGAAAACTAGTGCAAAGCCAATGACAATTAATAAAAGAATCATGCATCCAAGACAAACTAATTTTGTTGAGCCTTCCTTATAAAGTGTTCACAGCTACACCCCAATTAGGCCAGTAATAGAGATGTTGATGAAAGTTGACAATGTCTTCCTAATTTCATTCACATTTTGGTCTATGAAACATAAAGCGCAGGGTTCGACAAACTAAATATTCAAGTCAGATATGTAATTTGTTATATTTTGTTATAACAAACATAAAATTGAAAGATCATTTAGTAGACGCATGCGCAATATGCGCAAAATGTTCCGGTCCGACAGAAACATTGGAAATTGATCTGTTTCCATTGAATTTCGTGGAAATGTAAATTTCTGCTATTTGTGACGTCATATAACGAACGATTTTACGTAATTTGTTAACCAAAAGACCGATTTCCTATCCAGTCATTGCTGAAACTTTGATTCATTGTAATTTAAGTTTGAAATAGGGGCCGTATCGAGAAAAAAAGTAATATAGCAAAAATACCGAACTCCAAGGAAAATTCAAAACGTAAAGTCCTTTATCAATTGGCAAAATCAAAAGCTAAAACACATCAAACGAATGGAAAACAACTGTCATATTCCAAACTTGGTATAGGCATTTCCTTATGTAAAAATGGTGGATTAAAGCTGGTTTTATAGCTAACTAAACCTCTCGCTTGTATGACAGTCGCATAGAATTTCATTATATTGACAACCATGTGTGAGCAAAACAAACAGCCATAATAGGTAAAATTGTAAAAAATTTGAGTACAGCAGTCAACTTTATTTTTTAATCTTAATCACTATAAAAACAAATAACTATTTCAACAAAGAAAAACAAAATGGCATATAGACACTTTATAGACAAAGTACATAACCAAAAATGAAAGACAAGAATACCCAAAATAACCATAGCACAATAACACAATGGCGGGAGGTATAAATACCGAGCCACGCCAAAAATATATTACCAAAAAATGGCTAGACAGTTAAGGTTAGAAATATAAAAAGACAAATAAAATGAACACTTTAACACGGAGTTAACATGATAAACAACGTCAGTACCCAGACCGTCATGTATTATTTGTGAGGTTGATACGGAATATCTATCAACAAGGTCTTGGGTTCTTCCGATGAACTTTTTTAGAAAAAGGACGAGACGTTCTTTGACATAACCCTGATTAATCTAATTTCTGCTCAGGCACTGATGACGTTTTATAAAGTCTGAGTAGCATCTGCAAGCTTTTGAATACCAAATGAGTTTGGAAATGTATATCCCATATGCAGGTGAAGTTGGTATATTGCTGCTAAGTTGAGGGAAATTTATAATTTCAAAATTAAAATTGTCTCGTTTGTCATAGATTATGTTACTAAGATGACCTACTCCTTTACGGTTAGAGTGACAACGGTGTTTAAGTTATTTAATCAGATGAAAAACAATGAAACTTGCGTGGACGATGACTTTTCGAATGAAATAGAAGATTAAGGCGACAGTAGTTTACCGATGTTCAAATCTCTTAAATTAATTAAGAAGAGACAAATCAAGGTAACAAACAAAAACTATACTGGTATCTAAAAATCTAAATCCGTGAAAACATGTCAATAGTGAGTTGAGACACCGACACATCGTGGGAATCAGTTTTTAACAAAGGAAAATTTTCATGACCTAAAACAAGGAATTTGTATTTACGTTTCCCAGTTTTGTAGAAAAGCTCCGTTTAATGAGACGTTGTGGTCGATCTTTCAATTGAGCATGAGGAATAGTAGTGTAATGCGTAGATAAATCGAAGGTTTTGATATTACTGCAAAATTGTAAAGATTGTCAATGAAGATATTAGAAGGCCTTCAATTTATTTGTGTACTATGTTGATGAATCATTAAAAGGTAGATTAAGTTGCAAGGAAGGTAATGAGAATCTAAGGTAGAGTAACACTATGACAAAAAAGCCAAAACCACAAACAGCATTCCACTTAACACTCTACAGAAACTAAAGATTTAGCTACATAAAACCAACAAACACTGGAGGCGGAATGAAGTGCTCACGAAAAGAACGAATCTCCAGCTCCATTTGTGACACCTGTCAAGTTGTGCATATGAACTTAAAATCCGGCAAGAATCATACACAAGAAAAGGACGAAGTGATAGTGACTTCGACAAATAGAACATACCTATAGTCATCAGCGACACAGATATTCGGAAGCAGTCAACAAAGTCATGGTGATGTCCATAAAACGTTCAAAGAGTTTTTTTACACAAAAAACCCTTGATTCAGTAACTAATTTGCGATGAAATCCGCATATAAAACAAAACTCTTTCACATCTCAGTTTGTTATAACAAAAAAAAAGTATTTCATAAATTAAACCTATTTAAGGATAATACAAACATAGAGTTTATTTTTGTCTATAAGGTTAACAGAACAGGTCCTTACCTTAAAATAATAATATATTTGATATCTTGATTTTTTTAGCATGTCCAGAAACTGTTGTTTACTTTGGAGGGTCAGCGTATATATACAACTGTGGTCGCGTTAAATGGCTTGAAGCAGTGGTATACAATTAAAATTTTTAGCTATATACAAGTTTAAATATTTCACCTTGAATAGCCTTTCTTCTTTACTACATTTCGTCCTTGCATGCATTATTATTATTAATTTTTCTTTTGTTTTGGACGGTGATGTTCCTTTGACACATCTTAAAGTGTTTATATATCCCAATTCCATCTCAATGCCTAATATATCATGTACTGTGTTACATGTCTAGATTCTATTGACGAGGAAAGGTAACACTAGGCCACCGAAAGCTGATTTTTTTAGTTTAGTGTAGATGGCCGAGTGGTCTAGAGCGCTGGACACTGTGCAGGCGATGTTGTCACGATATCCTGATAGCATGAGTTCGAATCCCGACGAGGGAAGAACAAACATTTGCAGATTTAACATTGTTGTGCTAGTATTTAGAGTTATAATGAAACATACAATATAAATTTTATTCGCATAAAAAATCGGACCGATGCGTATTTTTGCAAAGTTAGAAAATTATATACTTTTTTGTCTTACGTTCATGTTGTATTTAAGCAATATAAGTCATCATCAAAACTGGAAGTAAACGAAACAATTTAGACAATATATAATGTTTAAGAGTCAGACAAATGTATGTAATGTATTGTAAAATATAAGTTTCAACTCAAATATGAAGCTGTTCATGGAGATAATTAAATGAGCTTCAAAATAAGAAATGCCTGATAGCCAATTTAGAACAGTAAAAATTAGTTTCCTTTGCATATAGGTTTTTATTTTATTATGATACCTTTGTCATGTGTATTATACCACTTTTATGCATCGTCCTATTTTATTTAGATCTAGATTGCTGCTTAATATCAAATGAATGTCTTTATAAAATATGCGTAGAAGATCACCCTAATAACCCAAAATAGCCCAATTTCATTCGTATTTCATAAATTAATATTGTTAATTGATATGGCTACATTGTTGAACATACGGTGACATGTATTACACATCCTTGTTCTTTCTTCTTTGGCGGATAATGTAGGAGATATTATGCAGATAATTGTGCAAATCGTGAAACAAGCATGAAATTTGGTATATGGTTTGACAAAATGTTAATTAAAAAAAAAAACAGATGCTGGCTATAAAAAAAAAATATTTTTCAAGATGGCCATCGCTCATTTTGCAAATGATGTCATTTCCAATTGGCTACATTTCGTAAATCCTTTGAAAGCTGTGTTGTAGGTATAATCCAATGTAAGTTTTGATAAAAAGTTAATCACAGTTCCTAAAGTGAATGAGACAATACATTAATGAAGAAAAAAGAGACTTCCGGTTCCAAAATGGCGGCAAAAACGTCGAAACTGTCAATTTTTTTCATTTACATCAACTTTACAAGAGCTATCACTTACCTTGTTCAGTTAAAATGCCTAGTTTGTTTAGAAAGACAGATTGCCTTATCTAATAATTATCTAACTGACAGTTGCATGTACACAAACCCGTACAAGGAAGGCCAGAACGGTAGCATTTACAGTTACCAACACAGATGGATTTCTCGCATCCGCATTTCAAAAGTTCCTGACACGAGGATGCAACGGCAGGCAAAGAAGTCCATATTGATTTCCAACTGTCATTGTCTTTTTCTTTTATCCAACCCGAGTGGTCAGGACTTTGTACCTGTTGAATGCATAAATCCGTTTGAGCCCAACCATATCCGCCTTGATATGCTACTCTTTTGGTGTGTTCTAGAAGAGCATCTCTGGATGGCGGAATAGCATCATAAGGCCACTGCTTCCTGGCAAACAATTCAAATCGTGACGTGCCTCGTTAACAGCAAATGTTGCTGTTGTTCTGTTATACATGACGCAAACAATATAATCTTGCAAATGCTGCAATTCCTAATACTACTACATCCGTGTCAGTACTACTGAAAATTATTTTTTTACAACCATTTTCAGCAGCATGCTTAAAATGGACAAACTTTCGTGTATCTGCTTCTTCATGGTTACAAGGGGATAGCTGGGAAGTATCCGTATTGAAATTGCAAAGAAAATTTTCACCTTACATAAACAGTTTTATGAGTCTCTAAAGAAGCAATTCTGTCGGCATGAAACTTGAACAATTCCGTTTTGTTGTCATCTGCACGGAGAAAACTACTCCACACCCTTGGCGTTCTACCAGAACCATCAACGTTCCGTCTAGCACCAGCACCTCGCTTTCTTCTTGTCCAAGCCTTTAAACTATTCTTTAAGTAAACGTCAAATACAATGTCTACTCTCGAATACTGATCGGTGCAAGATTTTATGTAATGCAGTATGACATCATTTGCCTAATCATCAAATGTTTTACCCCACGTGGTGGCCTGGAATTAACCATTGCTGCCCCATCAACGATAAATGCGTCAGAGTGTGGATCAGTTGATGGCACATCGCAGAATGATTCAAGTATATCCATTAGCTGCGATTTAATACCACTGTTTAAAGTGCCATCCTAAGACAAAGACGGTGGAGCAGTTTGGTTTTCATGACTTAAGAAATCTTCTAGGTCTACTTTGACATGAAATGAAAAGTCTAGAAAAGAGATCGCAATCACCTTTCATGTTCTTTGGCTTTGTTTTTGACAAAGACGTTTCCGAGTTCGTTTTACGGCTAAATAATTGGAAATTGTTCTTTTTTATCGGGTCATAAAAAGCATATTCTCCTTCGTTTTTCATTTGTTTCAAAATATCTGTGTATTGTTTTGACCCAATATCTTAGAGTTTACATATCTTACCTGCTTCCGAATCAACAATTTCCTCAGAGTCAATTTTGTACAAATCTGATGACTCCTCTAGAAATGGATTTCCAAACTCGTTCATCACTTTAGAAAGCCTTCAAACCTTTTCGAAGAAATCCTTTTGTGTTTTCGTAGAGTCTTCATGGTGTCGTTCATCTTTTGAATAATGACTCAAACCACTAGATCTTTCAAATTCATCTACCAGTCTACTGACTTCTGGACACCTACCATACATCGTCTCAAAGCTGCGGAATCTTCGGTTAATGCTATGGCACCACCATCGCCCTTCACAATTTCATTATTCTATTTATGTGCCTGATCAATTGCAATATTAGAAAACAACTAGCTGGTCTTACGGTACAGTGAAATTACCATTTTCAAATTCCATTGCAACCTGTTGGTGATGTTTGTGAAAGGAAGCCATATCTCGGAAACGGATCGATAACAATCAAGCATAATTTACACGATCAAGACCAAAAACATACGGTATCATGCTTGATATGGACTGTTTGTAAAGTACGAAATCTGACTCACGAAATGAGCATACTACTGAAAGCACAAGAAGTTCTAAATTTATAATTGAACGCCAGAAATTAAACTGTGGTCGAGATGACTCTCTTTCCTTACACCAGTCTATCAAATCATCGAACGTCACAGAGTCATCAGCTATATTTTCTGCGTTTATGCTTTCATAAGCCGACATTAACAATTCAAACAAAACACATGCAGTTATCTGATGCGCGTGTCTAGTCCTAGGTACATTTAAACATACAAGAAAAGAATCTGCCGTTCCAGGTGTTGCAATATCGGCTTCAGTGAGAGCACTTGTCCATCCACTATCACGCAAAAAGTCACCCAGAATTTTAAAACCATCCATTTCAATGTGCAATTCACCAAACATGACGATAAACTTATCTTTTCCGTACAAATCTGGCCATTCCCACTGAATTAGCTTTGCCAAAACAAAAAGGCAATCATAATTGGTGTTTGTTCGAGATTAAGAAAGTTAACCACCTCTTTCACCTTATCCATCGAATGCTTTATCATTGCAACTGAATGGGCTTGTTCTTAAAATAGTGGCATCAAAGTCATTATCATTGCTTTCCAGATTGACGAAAGGGAAGCCTCTTTGTCACACAAAAATCACTTGTTTAAGTTTAGTATCTGAATGATCAACTGAACGGCGAAAGAACTTAGGTGAACAACCAGTTTCCCTTTTTGTTGATTTCGTTGACTCGTATCTTTGTTCGGCACGTTTCAATTTGGTATTGTTAAATTTAATTCGGCAACTTGGATGGTATTTTGCCTCATTCATTGTTAAAGTGCTTTTTAATTCCGGAACCGTTGTTTTACCTTCTAACGTTTAGTGGTATAGGTAAGCTATTCATTTCGTGAAACTTAGGAATGTTTGTAGCCAACATTTTATACCCATCAGCGTTGATGTTAACGTTTCAACTTAGTCTTCATGACACAAACAACACTTTGACCAGTCAGTTTCCCAACTATCTGTTGAGACTGATGACAGACAAAGCGGCAAACCATAACGTATTTGGGATACCTTAAAATGAAAGCTGACAATGGACCCCATGCCGTGTTTATAATCGGAAGCGACTTACACCAGTATGCCCTGGTAGTGCGTGCAAATCGCTCTTTATATTTATAAATAGTTTGCGCATGCGCGAAATTGTTAAACGCATGTGTATCATAACCTTGAAAAATGTTATAAAACCAATTCATAACATCATTGAAAATCCAAAAACACTAAGTATATAGTGAATATTTTAAAGGTTTTTGTGTGAATTTTGTAACGTTTTCGCGCATGCGCAAACCCTAATCATGTCAAATATTCATGTCTAGTATATAAGTCACATGTAAGGAAGGTAGCCATCAAACCTGATAATTTTTTACCAAAAGGAGGTCAAAGAAAAACAGTTTTCCAGAAAAATAAGTATTTTCGAACTGGAAAAACAGCCATTTTAGAAAAAGGCCTTGGCCATCTTGAAAAAATGATTTTTTTTTATGGCCAGCAGTTTTTTCTTAAAAAGTATACAATAATGATGCTTCATGCTAATTTTCATGCTTGTATCATGATTTGCACAATTCTCTCGATTTTGCTTGCTAATATCTTCCACTATCTCATTGAAAATCATATAGCATGTCCTTAATTGTATACAATGGTGGAATAACTACTGTTTTGATATCTTTATCCCCATTTTTATTCTCTATCTGTTGGCTTTCAAAAAGTACCAAAAAGGAAGAACTTAAGCATTCGCTGAAACTCAAGTTAAACTATTTTACCAAATTGAATAATTCTGAAACAGCATTCTCGAGCTTTTAATGTTTTCTTCACTTTCCTACACAAGTTGTGCTGTTTTCATTTTTTGTATTTCGAGATTTTTGTGTTGAAACTATTGCCTACATTTCTGATCGTATAAAACCGTTACAATGCCTTTTAGTTTTTCGTAGTATATTTTATAGCAACGTTTTATAAGTACATAAATGTGTTATCGAAATCAAGGATATTTATAGTTAAAATCCTTGTCTAAATATGCAATTCATAATTCAAGGGAAAGAAAAGGGTCTTGGTCATTTATGAGTAGTAATGAGAAAAAATACCACTTTAAATACTTGTATTAAAAAGGACTTCCCTATCGTTTAAACTTTAATAAAATATATGAAATAAGTAATTACTTTAATGTAATTTCCAATATTGTTTCTGGAATCAGCTGATTTCATATGTCTTACCAAGTGTTTCACGTGTTGAATTCAAGACTTGATACTGAACTCACTGGCTGAAACAAGCTAAGGAAAGATATGGAAACAAGGGAATATAATTATATTTTTCTCCTGAAATGATTGATGGAATAGATTGCTTAATACAACACTATCGATTTGCAAGACAGCTTTTGTAATTAACTCAGTTTTGTGCAAAAAATAGTTTATGGCCACCATTAAAAAATTCATGAAATATTTTCGTTTTGAATTAATATTTGTAGGCTTATAGTAATTGTATATTTGCCCTGTATTCTAGAGCTATTGTAGAGGTCAAGGTGGGGACCTGACATCTATTGAAAATGAAGCAGAAAACAATTTTTTAAGACACGTAGCGGCATTGATAAGGACTACAGGACAAGTCTCTCCTGGTAAGAATAATTAACATGTGTAAACAAAACTTTGAACGTCTTTATTTTGTAATAATTACCATGCATAGATGTTTCATAAATATTCCATTCTTTTGATTTTCAAACAACGTTTCCTTGATCTTCCAAATTGTTTTTTTTAAATTTCCTAATAAAACGTTTCATTTGTAACTGTACGTTCTTTTTTAATGACTACGTTATAAAAATATTAAGGAATATTTAAAACAAAAAAAACTAAACGCGTGATTTAACTCTAATGTTTCTTGGTGTTGCATTTACATGTTATCATAGGAGTTGAATATTTCTTTTTGTAGTTTTATAGGACTGTAAAAGCGTTGACCGTGTGCAACTACTTAATGTGAAGCAAATATAAAATGTTTTTTTTTTCAATCGGTACATTTTTCGAAGTTGGAATGTTACAAACGTGCAAACTAAAAATACAAAAAAATAGCAGTTTTGATATTCCAAGGTTCATCATATTATATACTCCAAGCTTCCATTGGCCAGGACATTGTCTCCAAAGTACACTGTGTCTTAAGTTCATTTATAATATAATACATGTTAATACACATTTCAAAAATTAGATTACACAAACTCAGATTACAGATTCATTATCATACTGTTCATTTTAAAAACTATACAAAAGTAAATATGTTATGACTTGTCATTTGAATCTTTAAATAAAAAAAAATACATATTTTTCTATATCCAAGAAATTTAAATTGTTTTATTGATTTCAGTTTCTGTAGATTTAAATATTTTCACTTTGGTACATGACATTTTTAATAACTATGAACAGTTACCAATGTCCTTCAAGCAAAACAGTCCTTATAATGTACGCATATACATTTTTAACAAAAGAGATATATTTAAGTTTTTGATTCAACTTTATGTCCTACTTATCTGAAAAGACTTGAACGGTACATAAACTGCATGTACATGTACGCTACACAAGAATGGAATAACCGAAAAAAAAAACAGTTCAGTAATTTGTGAATTATGATTACAATTATCGTTATAAGTCTTTAAAGTGGTTACTAGACAGTGTAGATTACTTTCAGGTCATTACTGGATCGGACTGACAGACATTAATACTGAAGGTTTGTTCGAGTGGCAATCTGGTCAACCACTAATATACAATGACTGGTATAAAGATACACCTATTCAACCAGATTATTTGGATCAATACGGAAATTCAATGGATGTGGCCTGTGCTTCGCTTAAACCAATTTACAGTTTTCATTGGGGGGATGAAAGATGTACATTTACCTGTAATGCACTTTGTGAAATCAAGTAAGTATGTACGACACTTTCTTATTTTTTTTTACATTTAACCAAGGACTATCTCTTTTAATTCATTTAATATTTGATACAATTTGAATACACTGAAGAAATTAGAAGCAGTGTGTAAATTTTTAAGCTTCAAAAAGGCTTGAAACAAAAATCTTGTGTAGTGTTTAAAATGGTATTGACAAAGTTTTCAGCTGTAGTTGGTGTCTTCAATAATTCGGCAAACTGTAGAGGCAAGTCATACATAATATCCGATGGAAGGGACGATTCACACATACTATCCGACGGTAGTGATGAGTCATACATTATATCCGATTGTTGTGACGAGTCATACATAATATCCAATTGAAGTGACGAGTCATACATAATATCCGATGGTAGTGACGAGTCATACATAATATCCAACTGTAGTAACGAGTCATACATAATATGAAATGGTAGTGACGAGTCATTCATGCTATCCAACGGTAGTTACAAGTCATACATAATATCCAATGGTTGTGACGAGTCATACATTATATTCGATTACTGTAGTGACGAGTCGTACATAATATCGAATGGTAGTGACGAGTTATACCTAATATCTAATTGTAGAGAAGAGTCATACATAATATCCAACGGTAGTGACGAGACATATATAATATCCAATGCTAGAGAAGAGTCATACATAATATCCAACGGTAATGACGAGTCATACATAATATCCAATGGTAGTGGCGAGTCATACATAATATCAAACTGTTGTTACTAGTCATACATCATATCCTATTGTAGTGACGAGGCATTCATAATATCCAATTGTAGTGACGAGTCAGACATACTATCCAATGGTAGTGACGAGTCATGTATAATATTCAATTGTAGAGACGAGTCATACATAATATCCGATGGTATTGACGAGTCTTACATAATATCCAATTGTAATGACGAGTCATACATAATATCCAATTGTAGTGACGAGTTATATATAATATCTGGCGGTAGTGACGAGTCACACATAATAACCAACTGTTGTTACGAGTCATACATAATATCCTATTGTAGTGACGAGGCATTCATAATATCCAATATGAGTGACGAGTCATATATAATATCCCAACGGTAGTGACGAGTCATACATTATATCCGATTGTTGTGACGAGTCATACATAATATCCAATTGTAGTGACGAGTCATACATAATATCCAACTGTAGTAACGAGTCATACATAATATGAAATGGTAGTGACGAGTCATTCATGCTATCCAACGGTAGTTACAAGTCATACATAATATCCAATGGTTGTGACGAGTCATACATTATATTCGATTACTGTAGTGACGAGTCGTACATAATATCGAATGGTAGTGACGAGTTATACCTAATATCTAATTGTAGAGAAGAGTCATACATAATATCCAACGGTAGTGACGAGACATATATAATATCCAATGCTAGAGAAGAGTCATACATAATATCCAACGGTAATGACGAGTCATACATAATATCCAATGGTAGAGGCGAGTCATACATAATATCAAACTGTTGTTACTAGTCATACATCATATCATATTGTAGTGACGAGGCATTCATAATATCCAATTGTAGTGACGAGTCAGACATACTATCCAATGGTAGTGACGAGTCATGTATAATATCCAATTGTAGAGACGAGTCATACATAATATCCGATGGTATTGACGAGTCTTACATAATATACAATTGTAATGACGAGTCATACATAATATCCAATTGTAGTGACGAGTTATATATAATATCTGGCGGTAGTGACGAGTCACACATAATAACCAACTTTTGTTACGAGTCATACATAATATCCTATTGTAGTGACGAGGCATTCATAATATCCAATATGAGTGACGAGTCATATATAATATCCAACGGTAGTGACGAGTCATACATAATATGTAACGGTAGTGACGAGTCATACATAATATCCAATTGTAGTGACGAGTCATATATAATATTCAACGGTAGTGACGAGTCATACGTTTGCTATAGAATGAAATAAAATCTTGATACATCTCGTTCGTCCGAAAGGCTTTTCTGGATTCACTATCATCAGGAACGCCAAAACCTAAGCATTTGAAAGGCAGGAATGCGTGAATACGCTTAAACGTTAGAAACAATACACAATATCCGATAAGTAATGTGGCGTATTTAAAAGAAAATGCGTATTCTGATTTCTCTTAGCGTGATGAGTGTTCCTACATTATAAGTCATCACAGCCTAAGGTCAACTTTGCTTGAAAGAGTTGCAAACAGATGACTATGGAAATGTGCCACTGGTCTTTACAAAAATACCGCGATTCTGGCATTACCGACTTATCACAGTATTTTTCCTGCAATGAGTAACTGGATGGGTGCCACTAGTGGAGCAGAAACTGCCTCCCCTTCCGGAGCGCTTAGGTTCATTCCTGGTTTTTGATGGTATTCGTATTGCTCAATCTTTAGTTTTCTGTATTATGTTTTGTTATAGTTGTTTGCGTTTTAGTCCTTTTTCTTTCTGGTCATGATGTTGTCTTTTTGTAGTGTTTATGACGTTTTTACACTAAATCAATTGGATGTGTACTTATTGATATTCTAATTTGTCTTGGATACATGATTTTTTAATATGATCATATTTGTTTTTAGTTTGTTGTTTTGTACATGAATCAGTCCGTATGTTTTCTCGTTTGAATTGTTTTACATTTTGTCATGTCGGGGCCTTTTATAGCTTACTATGCGATATGGTCATTGTTTAAGGCCGTATGGTGACCTATAATTGCGTCATTTGGTCTATGGTGGATAATTGTCTCATTGGCAATCATACCACATCTCATTATTTTTTAAGTCTTTTGAATGCCTTCTTGTTATCTTCTCTCTGTTTATAGCGTTAATAAAATTTTATAATTCTATCAAAATGTACAATTAACGCTTGCAGTATTATGTACTGCTTGCTTATAAAAGAAAACTATCCGATAACACTTTAAAAGGTTTTGCCCTGGACTTATAAATCCAATGTCTCATATTTTAACTGATTGATTGATTGATTGATTAATCATCTATATTTTTATTTAATTATTTATTTATTTATTTATTTATTTATTTATTTATTTATTTATTTATTTATTTATTTATTTATTTATTCATGTATTTATTTATTTATTTATTTATTCATTTATTAATGTATATATTTATTTATTTATGCTGCACTAATCGAGTAATATACATTATTTCTCACAAGTAAGTTTTGTTTTTGCAGATAACAGTTTGATTGACGGATGAAGAATCCACGTATAATGCGATTCAGTACATTGCAGTTTTAATTGTATTAACTATTATAATAGAATAATATTAGAAGATTTTCAACACAACTGCTTTTTCGAAATATAACAGATAAGAATATAAAGTGTGAATTGTATTATTAATAAAATAAAATATGAAGATTTGTAACACGATTGCTTTTTACAAATATAACAAATCAAATATGAATTAAGGGAGTTAAAAAGCTGAAAACAACGTACTGTTGTCACCAACTGCTTTATAACTCTCGCTCCCATGTATTTTAGAACTCAATGCTTTTTGCAATCAGCAAACTAATTTGTAACTGCTATTCCAATTAAATATCTAACTATCGGTAATTTTCCCTTTGATATTTACTGCCTAATATATTTTAAATGAAGGATCAGACGAAAAAAAAGGCTGAAGATACCAATGTGATGTTCATACTCTTAAGTCGAAGACAAACTGACAACGCCATAGCAAAAAAGGGAAAACTACCAAAAGACAAATAACAAATTTCAAAACACATCATATAAAATAGAAAACTAAAGACTGAGTAACACGAACCCCACCAAAATCTGGGGGATATCTCAGGTGCTCCGGTAGGGTAAGAAGATCCTGCTCTATATGTGTGGCACCCGTCGTGTTGCTCATGTAAGTACAAATTCGGTGATCAGTCTTATTTGGTGCTGTCACATTCGAGGAAAAGAGGGCGGGATTGTGGTTACGACAATTCGAACATATCCGTCGTCATCTGTGAAACAGATATTCCATAACGGTCAACCAACTCGTGAAGGCGTCCGTAACATTCTCGAAGGGATGACTTCAACTTCATCACGTGGAACCTGTGGTTTTTATAGCTTCCGTGAAAGCAGCAATCCTCTATCAACGAAATCATGATAGGAACCGCAAGCTCTGGAATATCGTATCAACTGGAATATATCCTGTCAATTCAGAAACTATTGCGATGTTTTTATTATTGCGAAATATGCGACAGGGTTATAATCGCAATGATTTAAACTCGCATTTTGAAATTTTCTATATGAATTGAACAGGAATTTTCTCAATATCGCAAAAATTAAAATCGCATTTTAGTCTAAAATGACAAAATCGCAATAATAAATGCACGCAATAATATCTGAATTTACAGTATACTCCATATGCAGGCGCTGCTGGAATGTTGCTACAAAGAAATGGAAAGTTCACTATTGGGAAGCTGAAATCATCCCTTTTGACCTAAAGTTTAGTTCTCAACCGACCCAAACTTAAATTATTCAGTGAGAGGACATCATTTGTATAGCAGAATGTGAAGTTAAAGGGTAATGCTAGCCTTCATTCTTCCGAAGAAGCTCCTGTGTGAAGTCTGCCTCATATTAATATAGAACAAGTCGGCAAGAAGAGGAGCTGGGAATGCTGATTGTTTGTTGAAAAACACGAAGACTCGAAAATATAAGGCAATGAATTTACGAAACAACGGTGCAACATCACGTTTTCTTGTCTACCTGCGTCAATTTATCAATGAAATGCATACAATCGAAAACTTTCGCAACGTTTCATCTGCGTAAAAAATATATTAACTATGTCATGTTATTTCATATTCCAAACCAAAACCATATGGTCAAGACAAATTGCCGATAAAAAGAATAGTGGCATTTTGCTTTTTTTATACTGACTTCATCAGTTCGCATACCAACTCGATATTCTAGCTGATAATGGCAGTATCAA